CGGACCACGAGATCATGACCTGAGCTGAAGTCGGACGCTCAACCCATGAGCCCCCCGGGAGCCTCGGTTTACCATAACTGTTTAAAACAGAATAAGCAACTTAATTTTGTAAACATTGTATCTGACCACATAATTTTATGATACCTCATGACCTGGTCTTGGGAGCAACCTAAGAAAGGGTTGAAAAGGGGGCGCCTGGGTGGCTCAGTCGGTGAAGCATCCAGCTCCTGATTTGCAGGGCAGGTCATCGGTTGACCTGATGGTTCATGACACGGAGCCCCCCCGCCCAGGTCGGGCTCTGCGCTGTCGGCCTGAGGCCTGCTGGGGATTCTCTCTCTTCCTCTCTGTCTCCTCCTTCCCATACTCTCTCTCTCTCTCTCTCAAAATAAATAAACATTTTTAAAAGCCTATTCTATCAAAAAGAAAAAAAAAAGACAGAAATGGTTGCAATGAATTCTTCTGATTCTGATCGTGTTTCCTATATAGACAGAAAAGGTGATTAACGGATCACGAGAATTTTCTGCAACGAGGGACTCTGCCCCCAAAGAGCCCTGGGTATTTCTGGGGTGAGTACACAAGGTCCCATCAGAGCAGTGGGTCATGGGGCCAGTGGGCGGGGGGTGGGGGGGACCACGGCGTCACAAGGTAGGCAATGTCACTCAGAATGCTTGCTCACTTCCCATTCCTGGGGGCCCCCGGGTTTCCAGTAACGAGACCACTGCCAACCCAACACCCACGGCGTCGGTCGAGTAGGAAAGTGTCTGAATCTACTCCTGAAACGAATACGGCACTATTCGTTGACTACCTTGAGTTTAAGTGACAAAAAGAACCAAGATTTTTTTTTTTTAAGCTGGGGGGTGCCCGGGGGGGTTCAGTGGACTAAGTGTCTGACTTTGGCTCAGATCATGACTTCAGGGTTCATGGGTTTGAGCCCCACGTCCAGCTCCCTGCTGTCAGTGGGCATCCGCCTCTCTGTCCCTCTCTCTGTCTGCCCCCTGGCTTTCTGAGTCCCCGTAGATTCACGACAGGACACCCTGGGTTCCCGGTACTTAGTTCTGAAGGCTTTCCCAGCTGCAGTGACTCGGGGGGAAGGCCGGTCCCTTGTAAGAAGGGCGAGCAAACCACAGGTGCCTTTCAGCAAGAAAACCAGTGTCAGTGTTTTCTGAGAAGTTACTAGAAAGGCTTTCAGTGAGTTCAGCTTGACCCTGAGCCATCAATGGGTCTGTCTGTCCACCTCTGTCCAGTAAAGACGCTTAGGGGCACCTGCTGATGGATGTGCTTCAAGCGGGTCAGAATCCACAACTGGTCTAAGCCCAGGGTGTCTGGGGGGCTCCGTCGGTTAAGCATCCGACTCTTGATTTGGGCTCGGGTCCTGATCTCACGGGTTGGTGGGTTCGAGCCCCGCGTCGGGGTCTGTGCTGATGGCTCAGAGCCTGGAACCCGCTTCGGATTCCGCGTCTCCCTCTCTCTCTGCCCCTCCCCCACTTGCACTCCGTCTCTGACTGCACCCAGTCTGGGAATCACCAGCGCCAGCCCGGGGACCCCTCCCCCATCCAGGCTCCCTCGGACCCCTTCCTGGACCGGCTGGAAACCCCGTGTGTCATCACCAGACCATAGCAAACATGTGCCCACGGGCCCTTGCAAACCAGGCACGTAAGCAGGCAGTGTGACAGTTCAGAACCGAAAAGTCCCTGATGTGCCCCCGGGGGCTCCCATCTCCACCACCCGCCAGGCTAGAAAATCAAGTCCAACCTGTTCGGGAAGGAAGGACACCTGCCCCCAGGCTCTCCACCCTCTCTCCCTGGCCCCTTCTATCAAAGCTTGTAACATACGAGCATGGACAGGGAAACAAGGTTCTGGAAAGTAGCAGGCACGGGTTCAGACAACACACACCTGTGATGGCCTGACACGGCGGGGACACCCTCATGTTCGTCCGAGGATCTCTGGTGACTTGCTCTCGTCACGAGCAGATACACGTTAATTGAAAGCAAACCCTTGGATCTCTTGCAAGGAAGGCGGCAAGAACCGTGAAACCACCCAGCATCTCGGTGGGGTACCCAGGGGCTCCCATATTTATTTATTTTTCCATTCACGCCTGATCCATTCAAGCGCCATGAGTAGTGAGCCCTCTGTGGGGCGCCCAGGGGGCTTATGCATCAGCTCTGGATTTCAGCTCAGGTCATGATCTCGGGGTTTGTGACTTTGAGCCCTGACTCGGGCTCTGTGCTGACAGTGCGGAGCCTGCTTGGGATTCTCTCTGTCTGACTGTGCCCCTCCCCTGCTCATTTTCTCTCTCTCTCTCAAAATAAATAAATAAACATGAAAAAACAACAGTGTCCCTTCACATCAGAGAAACTCAGGTTTTCAGAGACTCAGAGAACTGTCCAAGCTCCTTGTTACTTTTACAAACAAAAAACAAACAAAAAGACACTGTAGTTGCAAAAGAGAAAAAAAAAGATAAGAAAGAAAGAGAAAGAGAGAGAAGGAAGGAAGGAAGAGAAAGAAAGAAAGAAAGA